GGACATTTTGACTTGGAAATGTGCTTCGCGCCACAGCGGCGTGCACTTTTCCAACATCTCAACCTCCAAAAGTGGTCCGAGAATGGTGCGTTTTGTACATTTTGACTTCAAAATGTGCTTCGCGCCACAACGGCGTGCACTTTTTCAACATCTCGACTTCCAAAAGTGGTCCGAACCCCTAGTGTTTTGTACATTTTGACTTCGAAATGTGCTTCGCGCCACAACTGCGTGCACTTTTTCGACATCGCAACTTCCAAAAGTGGTCCGACGCTGAGGTGTTTTGTACATTTTGACTTGGAAATGTGCTTCGCGCCACAACGGCGTGCACTTTTTTGACATCTCAACTTCCAAAAGTGGTCCGAGACGGTGTGTTTTGTACATTTTGACTTGGAAATGTGCTTCGCGCCACAACGGCGTGCAATTTTTCATCTCTCATCTGGCCAGCTGGCTCCGCACCCGCCGCTTTAGCGAGCCTACTTTTCGACCCTCCGGAGCCCAAATCATTGGAAAAACACAGTGTTTCGCGACTTTCCTACCTTTTCGCGCATCTGTATCTTCTGTCTTCTTACTCTTTCTCTTCTGATCTTCTCTCTGCTAATCTTCCTCTTCTCTCTGCCTCTGCCCTGCTCTGCTTTTCATCTCTCCATATTGTCGGAAGTTTGACTTCTAAACTTCCTTCGACCATACATACATGCATGCATACATACATACATACATAGATACATACATAGATAGATAGATAGATCGATCGATAGATAGATAGATACATAGATACATACATAGATACATGCATAGATACATACATAGATACATACATAGATGCATACACAGATGCATACATAGATACATACCCTACATACCATACATACCATACATACATACCATACATACATACATACATACATACATACATACATACAAGCCATACAAGCCATACAAGCCATACAAGCCATACAAGCCATACAAGACATACAAGACATACCATACAAGACATACCATACACCCCATCCCATCCCATCCCATCCCATGCCATGCCATGCCATGCCATGCCATGCCCTACCTACCTACCTACCTACCTACCTACCTACCTACCTACCTACCGTACCATACATACCATACATGCCATACATACCACACATACCATACATACCATACATACCATACATACCATACATACCATACATACCATACATTACATTGCATTGCATTGCATTGCACTGCATTGTGTTGCATTGCATTGCATTGCAGTACAGTACAGCACAGTACATACATACATACATACATACGAGAATAGGTACTAGTATTCTGCTTTGGGGGAGGCGCTGCGCCCTTCAGCCCTCCCCCCAACCCCTTCTCCCACTTTCTTTATTTTAAACCCAAGCTTGCGAACTTGTACATACACTACTCTACACACAATATATATATATATATATCAATATATATATATAATGATATGTGTATCTATCTACCTACCTACCTACCTACCTACCTATCTACCTATTTACAAATCTACCTATCTATCTATCTATCTATCTATCTATCTATCTATCCATCTATCTATCCATGCATCCATCTATCTATCTATCCATCTACTGTATCTATCTATCTACCTACCTTTATTTACACACCTTGTATCCCTAAATACACCTCAAGTCAACCCTCAACCAATTTTTAATAGACCCTGGACCAACCCTAAAACCCTAAACCAACCCTAAATAAACTCTAAACCAACCCTAAGTAAGGCCTAAAACAAGGCAACCGGTTGACTCGGCGCCCTTGTAAGGGTGACGAATTTGAAATTCTGATTTTTGAGGCTAAGAGACAAAATGCTGGTATTTGCAGGAGTCGTCAAAAAATGTTTGCAACATGGACATTCATTTCGATTGGCAGGCGTGTGACTCAAAAGTGAAAATTTGCGTTTCGCCTGCGCGGTGACTCGATTTTGCTCTTCAAGGGTCAAAAAAAAACATTAGAAATTTATGATTTTCAATCATCCGAATCATATCAGGGCGACATTCACTCTTCCAGTTTTTTCCTCTTCTCGACGCTAGCGGTGCCAGAGCGCTTGTGGCAACGCAGAAGCCACAGTCTGCAACAAGGCAGCAATGTGACGCCATGTCCAGCTGTAGGCCCAAGTGTACCTTTTTTGTGCACGTTTTGCTTTTTTGTGGAGCATCGACGGAGGTCGCCATTTTTTAAAGTGTTTCCATGTTCCATCCATTTGTTGAGTACCAGCAACAATGGTTCTATTGGATTTATCCCACAAACGACCTCGAAAATGATAAGTCTTAGTCATAGTAAAGATATTTTGTTTGTGGTTGACTTGGGCCAACTTGAACCTTTTGTGGGGATAATCTTTGACACAACTGACAGCATGTGCAACGTTTGCATCTTCCGTAACGTAAAGGAAGTGCTCGTCAGGGACGTTAATACACCCCCCCACCCCCAACCCCCCCTGATGATCATACGACAGCATGCGCAACGTGTGCATCTTCCGTAACGTAAAGGAAGTGTTCGTCAAGAACGTTAATACACCCCCCCACCCCCCTGATGATCATACGACAGCATGCGCAACATGTTAAAAACTCAAAAAAATCAAATCCTATACCCCCATTTCCGCAAGCCTCATTTTTGAAATTTGCAACCCTTCCAAGGGATCGTAAATGGCACATCTCAAAATTGGCAACCCTTCCAAGGGCGCCGTATCAGCCGCATGCCTAAAACAACCATGAATAAACCATAAACCACCCCTAAATAAACCCTAAACCAAACCGTAAATATATCCGAAATCAACACTATGTATCCACTGAAACTATTTTTCACTCACCACGGTTGTGCTTCAACCTATATTCTACATTTTCACCAGGGGCATGTTACGCACGGAAAAATCGATTGAAACCATAGCAAACTCAGTTGAAACCATGGAAAAATCGATGAAAACCACCGGAAAATTCATGGGAACCATGGGTAAGTCAATGAACACCATAGAAAAATCGGTGAAAACAACGGAAAAATCGATTAAAACCATGGAAAAATCGATATACAGTGCAAATGAGAAATTCAGCTCCAAAATTCAGCAAATTACAGGTTTCTGCTCCAAAATGTAGCAAATAGCAAGGAAAAGTGCCTCAGACTGGAAAAAAAAACACATCCTTAAAAAAAACCTGCACCTCATTTTTTTAGGGGTCATAGTTGCTGTACGGGGAAATGCCTATGGTAGCATTATCATGCCAGGACTTGCAGAAGGGCACCAAGATCCTTGCAGCAGATGGTACCCCCATAGAGGTTGTTAAGGTCGAGAAGCAGTTGGCCAAGAGACTGGTTGATTTGGAGAGACCTGGCAGGATTCACTGGTTAGTTTGGAGACACCTGCATGATCATGAACGCTATTGACCAGTTGTAAATAGGCAACGGTTTGGCCTTATTTCTGCATTGTTGTGTATGATGCGCCATGAGCCTAAGCGCAAAGTGGATAAATTGGGCAGGAGCGAATGGCAAAGATGTTGTTTGCCAAAGATTGCAGCATGGTGCTTACGTAATCTCACATGTTGATGACAGATAATGTTCCTTTGCACAAGCAACAGAAGTGCTGCCTCAGCCAACCATTGTCATCATTGTGATCCTGGGGCTGCACTTGTTGCCGGATCAGACAAATATCTCAGGATTGACGATGCAATGCCGTTCACTACGACGCCGAACCACCGCATCATGGTCCCAAAGGACGGGGAAGACATAGTGACTGACGCCACCAAAGAGGCGGCAAAACTGGACGTGGGGCAGTGGGTGATTTGCAGCGATCGGGTGGCCAAAAGAGTGATCGGAATAAGGAAATACCTTGCAGCTCGGATGATTAAAGATTGTTCATGTGTTTTCTTTTCACAATCCAGACCAAGGTCGCGGACACGCTTTTGCGATATCTTCGCAATGATGTTTTAAAGTCACCCTTCTGATTGAAAGTCCTCTTATTCTGTTCTGATCCATGGTTGCAATGGGTCGCATCCCCAGCTGTTGATCCTTTTCCTTTTTTCAACACAAAACCTGTCCAGCCCAGGTTGAAGAACAGGAGGTCTTGGCAATCACCTTCGATCCGGACAAGGCCGTGGCGTGCTTCCTACCACCTGAGGAGCCCGTCGTGTTGACCAAGGGCTTGACCCCGAAGCCCACTCGCCGTGGTGGGATGGGCAGTGGTGCCAAGCATGAGCTCATCAGCATCCCAGACACAGCAGCCGGTGAGTATGAGGACTGAGCGGGCAATGAAGGCAGAGTTGTTTTAGAAGAAAAGGCTGGGCGACTTGATTTGTGCAACGATCTTATCAGGCTCATGAACTTACCATATGTTACCGTAGCTTCCGCAGGATGTTTCCACGGCTGAGTTTTTGTCCTTTTTGACACAGTTGGATGGAATGACTGACAATCGAAAGATCTGAAGTCGCCCAACTGCCCAACCTTTTGATTTTTTCCAGGGCGCAGCACCTGGGGTCAGAGGCCAGAGATTCATGAACCTGTGGATACCTGTGGTCATCTAGGATTTGATTGGATTTCCCGTGTTACATGACCACTTTGTTGCATCATTGTTATCAACGGGTTTCTTGTCCTTGGAAGCTCAATAAGTTCAGAGGTTTGGTCGAACGGTTTCCAGGGAAGACCTGGATGGCCCGGCCAGTGGCTAGTAGAGTCTTAGTAGAGCGCCTTTGAGAAGCTGCATGTGGCCTAATTAGATATTCCACAGACCGAAGAGTCAACGATGTTGGTGAGAATCGCCATAGAATCTTGTTATCTAGCAAAGAACATGTATCTTTAACAATAGTGTTCTCTTGGAAAACAATGCATTCAAATGGTGTCAAAAATAAATCTTGGCATACAACTTAAAGTGCCAAGATTCTTGACCCTTGATCAACCTATTTCATAGTAGTGAAAGCAAACTTGTTTTTGGCAATGTAGTGTAACCGCACCGGCACTGGCATCAGATAGGCCGTGGCTGTCCAATTTTGGCTGCCAACTGCGGCGTGCACGGCTCACTGAGCAAGTTGCTGCTGCAGCGTCTTCCATTGCCCAGGCAGTTGACTCCAAACCGAGTGGCCAGAAATGATCTTCCCACAGTTTCTAGAATTGCCAAGACATATATGGGTTTGTCTTCCCCACTTATGGCGTCAAAACTTACGTCATTTACAGCCATGGTCCATATATAGGGATCCTTGATTTTTGGAAGCCAACATCAAGTCCCATTCAATATTGGTGATTAAGCCCCACTTCATTTCACCACTCACGTTAGGGTGGATGGCCTGGCTAGCTCACCCGTCACAAGTGCACGTGAAGATTCGTAGTGCAATGTGATCAGCAACCCACCTCGATAGCCACGGCGAGAAAATGCCCCAAGTGACGGTCATGGAAGCTGGTTAGGGTCCAAACAACAGGAAATCAATGGCAAAGTGATGACATTGAAAATAACTTGTTTTTGTTGTTGGGATGTTCTGGACATTGAAAATCGACAACCCAAGACATCTCTGAAAAGAGAAGCATCCAAAAGTGACCAAAACCATCCAAAAAATAGTTATTGGTTCCCACTCCCATCTTCCCTGACTCGATCCTTCCACTCCGAACTCCTGAGGCTGGACATTTCCAGGGCACCTGAGGAGTGGAGAGGTGGAAACAGCTAGACGGGTGCTACCGGTGGAGATCGTGAAAGTAGGTGGAGCTCAATGAACGCAAGAGGCAAACAAGTAGGGTACCCTACATCAAATGAACTTGGACATTGGAAGTGTTCACCTTTGGAAACCGAGAAAAAGAATTGCCAGGAACATGTTCTTGCCCTATGGTTTCTCAGGCTTGGAAAGAATTTTATAATCTTTATCCACTTGAATGTTTGCCATGTTTGGTAATTAAGGGTTGAGCCCCCCATTGGTATTCGTCAGACCTACATGGGAATCCGCTGTTTGGATGTGTTTCATTCTGTGGGTCGATATAGTTTTTTCAGGAGAAGTTGCTTTGCCATGTTTGTCTACTTTCAGATGCCTAGAATAGAAACCATTTGGAAGATCCATGTTTCACGAATTTCTTCATGACTGTGAAAAACATGAGTGAAGTCATGCAGGTTTAGCCGCAGATTCCTCAGGATTTACAGAACATTGTTCCATGTTAATAAAACATGTGAGATCCCCCAAAATCAATGACCCTTGTTTTGATGTAAACCATCTTCAGAGGAAAATGTCCCGATTGATGGAACTTTAAGGCAACATGAAGTTGTGGGTCGAGATCTAGGGTTTGCTGAAGGATTTATAATGTTGCAATCAAAGGTCTGCAGCTAAACACAACACCGGGAGTATTTAGTGGATAATTAGTTTATTGAATTTATTGCTATAAATTAGATTCGTTGCTTCACTGCAATTCCCCAATTCTCCTCTTATCAGCTTGCCATCATCTTGTAGCTATCTCCATCGGTTTCCCTGACATCTGCCAGTAGCTGAACCGCTTCCACCCCCGCCTTTGAGGCGGTGCCCATGACGATGGCATTGCGGTGAGAGGATCGGCGAGCCGTGGTGGCATCTGGGGGTCAATGATGGTCGATGTCTACGTTTGGATTGGCACATGCAGTAACCCTGAGGAAGATCAAAAAGCTATTCACGATAATTTTAGTAAGATGTCACTTTTCTACCTTTTTGGGGTTGCTACAACTATCCAGAAAGCCTCGAATTGGATATGACTCAAGGATAGCCATATCATCGAAATATGGGAAGCTTTCAGGTGGATTGGGAACTGTCGAGCTAATCCAAAATTGGGTTCATCTAGGAACGTGAAACTATTTGAAGTTAGAGTTATTGGATTCAATAGTAGCAGTTCGGGACAGATCCATGTGGTTTACAAGCAGCATCCAAGCGGGCACAATCGACAGGCAATGATTTTGCATGGATACTCCATCAAAGTGCCCCCATTTCAAAGCTCAGAGGATCTTCCTTGAATGAGATGATCCAATGTCAATGTCGTATAATTTTGGAGGAATGTGTCTTTCAACGACCGGGAGGTATCATGAAGTTGTAGGTGCAGATTGAGGATGGACTAGAGCGGCTTGCATCATATTGCGGTCATACGTCCACATTCACAAACACGGATTTCTACTGTACTTACTGCATAAGTTGACTTGTGGCAATCACTGCCTTATCAAATGAGTCTTTAGAACACCTCATGATAAAGTACCTGAGGTACTGATTGAGGTTCAGATATAGGTTACTACTTGATCTGTGAATAGCTCCTGGATGTACCTTAGAATTCACGTGAAACTTTGGGTTTCCGGCGTTTCCAGATGTGGTTCTCCCACCCTGACTCCAGGCCATGCCAAAGACGGTGGCTCTGGATGGGGTCAGCCACAACGGGTAGACCCAAACCTGCCTGGATAGGGGGACCATGGGTAAACCCAAGCTTCCCAAGATGTTCATGCTGGAGTGATGGAAAAAATCCTGCGGGCAACTTGATGGCGTACAGCGTTTTACAGGTTATTAGTCAGGTAGTGCTGCTATAGGATTTATTGTAGATGTTTATATAATGATCCTGGGGTACATACCTAGAATATTCTCGGAGTTCATATCATGATAGTCATATTTGGGATGGTTGAACTGTGTGGTGTTCCTATGTGCAACGGTCCAACTTTGAGATTTTCCTGTTGTGGATGGTTGTACAACTGTACAATGTTGTACATATTAAGAGGTTACAGTATGCGTACTACTGTACATACCATCCCTTGTTGTATCATTTTGGAATTATGTTTTCAAGGGTACTTGGAGTATGTGTAACTTTACCCGATCACATCCAACCGTCCAACTGTTTGGAGGAGATCAACCACGAATGCAGTCGAAGTTTTGGATCCCCTGAGCTGTTTCTTCCATAGCAGACCTGGTTTCGGAAACTATGATGACTCAAACTTAGTGCCCCCCATATCATTAATGTTGGGTTCCGGGTCAACCTCAATGAGATGAGTTTTGGGTCAGCAAATTTATCCGATACTTTGGGTTCATAGTGTATAGATGTAAATAATTAGTATACACGATGTAGATCCTGAAAGGATCTGAAATATCGACCTGTGAGTTTGATATTTGTTCGGGGTTTAGGCATCAAGGGCCCTGTCATGACAACATGAGGACGAACATCAAACATGTATTCTCAAAGGAACAAAGGATAGCCACACGGGTTGAAAAATCCATCATGGATTAGTGTGTTTCTCACCACAAATAGCGCCAACAAGAATTTGCCCATTCCTAGATTGTTGAGTGCCGGTTGCTCTGCATCAGGATTTGGCAATACCTATGCTGAGGCCGTTGGGATACTTGAGCCAGAAGTTGGGTGATTCCATAGGGATGAAACACAAAGGAACTTGGCAAAGTGGCGGGGTGAAGCCCCGGGAAAAGTAATCAAAATATGTTCAACATGATCTGCTGTTTTTCCATGTTGTCAGGTTTTGATTTGTTGAGTTGAAAGTTTGATTTCGTTGGCCATATTCCTCGTCAAAATTGACCATCGATGCTCAGACGAAACTAATTTTTTCCAAGTTCACATCGGATGGATGCTACATTTGCAGCAAACTCCAACAGAATGTGCGGTCTGGAAATAATGGGTAGTTGGGTTTGGGGATGCTCTGCCAACCCCCAAGAAGTTTGTTGGCCTTGCCTCTTGGTGGTCATTAATCCAATATACAGTGGTCGTTACTAAAAAGAAGGAAACGTGTCCTGAAAGTCCGTAACTCCATCTACTTGGGCGCGTCATACAGGAGATGATGTCATCAGCATAGACCAAGACCACCGGCAGGTGGACTCGTCACGTTTCATGAAAGCACGACGTAACACGATGTGACTTGAAACGCTTCCTTCATTTGCTGCAGATCTATGTGGCACCTGCAGTGTCCCGAGCGTAAGTATGAACAAGTTTTTAAACAAACATTAACATATTATATATATATTATATTATATATATATATTATATACACATCAAATCTTGGGAATGCGATGCAGCATTTTCACTTTTGCCATTTGATGATACGGCATCCCATGGGAAAAATTGGCCGCGTTCTCCTCTTGTTTTTTTCTTTTTTTAATTCATGCAGCATGGATATGTGAATGTGTGGACGATCAATCACAATCCTTTATTCTGTCAAGATCTTTTAAGGTACCGGCCAAGCGTTGCAAAATCGTCAGATCATCAACACTTCAGTAAAGGTTGGCACTTTCTCAGAGCATCCAGGATGTCTTTGATGATTATCTTGTTGAAGGATCATTTCATCATCTCTTCTGCCAAAAAATATCGGCCGATACTGCTGTCGCTATCCCACCAAAAAGTCTTACCCAAGCCCCAAGATCATCCATGACAATTTGGTAAATATGATACATAGCATACATAGAAAATAATTCATGTATACCATGTATACATTGTAGACATACCACGTATACATGTAACATCATGTAACACATCAGGGTCCCAGTGCGCCCGACACAGGGCGATCGGAAGCAAGACGACTTCGCACCCGAGTCGGGGGAGCCAAGCACGGCATGGGGTTGATCCTGCATGGTAACTGCAGTGCGGCGATGGTTTATGAGATGCTGTGTGATGTTTTTGTTGTTGTTGTTTTTTAATATATGTGATGTGTATATATATATATGTGCTCATGATTTTTTAGCGATGTTTTTAATGACAATGTTCTGAAGTTGTTTGATGTTTTTGTTGATGTGTTTGCCACGTTTTTCATGTTGATGTTCATCTAGGTCTGTTGACTTGGAGTCTGGCATGTTTCCATCTCAAGATATATCAGTTTGGAGATCATTGGTGACGGTGCTTTTCGCCTGTCACCACTAGTTCCTATCGAATTTGTTAAGATCCTATAAAATCATATCCTCCAAACATTGTTGGCGGGAGTAAAGTTTTGGGATGCTGTCGGATGGTTTCATGGATAGAAGCCATCCAATGATAACCAATGCACATCATTTTGATCAGTTTCGTGGGCCCTGCCTGCGTGAATTCCACTGTTGGATTCGGAATAGTTTATATAGATGACTTGGCAGATCGAAAGTGTTTGTGGGCAAGACACAAATGTTATGCCATGCTAATGTATGTATGTATATATATATAAATAGAGAGAGAGAGAGAGAGTATTGTATATATATACAGTATTTAATTGACTGTATTTCATTCTGATTTCTTTTGCAGCAGTGTCATGACACCGGCCTGCCCGCAACTTGAAGTGCCTCAGAGCCTCAGAAGAAGCAACCTGCCTAGGAGCCATTGGAATCCATGGCCAGCATACCGGAGATCTATCCCAAGCTGCGAGAAGCACTGGAGCAATTTCTCCGTGACAGAGCAGAGGTGGAGAGCAAGTGTGCTGAGTTGTGCCTGTATTGGTTGTCAGAAAAATTGCAACAAACCAGGCGAGAAGCGATCAGTCGGGCACGCAGTTTTGTAGAAAAGTTTCGAAAGGTCACGGAGATGGACTTGGCAGAGGAAGACATCGTGTCAATGGAGGATCTCGCTGTGGCCTGTGCCAAATCTCAATTCTGGGACAAGGATCTCTGGCATCCAAAACAGACTGTTTCGTATCTGAAGAAATCGGACGGAACCTGGATCATACCTCACAATTGTGGCAGGTCGTGCCATTCGCAATGTGATCAATTAGCCTTGGAAGAGAACATGTTCACCTATGCAGAATTCTTTGAATCTTGTCCATATGAGCACCAATCAGACATGGAAAAGGTTGCAGAAGATCTTTTATGTCTCTTGAAGCCAGTTCAAGAGGAATTGCTTCCTCCCGAAGGGCCAACAGATCTGCGGATTTGGGAGATCTTTGCAGCTGCAAAGGCGCAGCAGAGGCAGTTCAACATGGTGGCCGTCTATGCAAACTGCTTGCCCGAAACCAATGAATTGGTGCAGTCAATGCAGGCCAAATTCAAAAGCCTCCTGTCATCTTTCAAACGGGTGCAGTTGCACCTGGAAGGAGAAAGACTTCTTGGCAGAGAGCTCAGCTCCAAGATGACCGGCTTCGCCATGCGGCTCAAATCGTGTTGCCGAGGAGTTGTGGGAAATATGACCTCGGGGCGGAAGATGACCGCAGCAAGGCTCCAAGATGACCGCAGCAAGGCCACCCGGCGCTGGTCACAGCTCTCGGCCGAAGCTTCGCAGATCGCAGCTCAGGTGAAGGAGCTGGAGGTGACTGAGGACAATTCCCTGGGCTCATGGAGCCTAGTCTCAGGAGGTGGAAGACCTATCGAAAGCTCGGAAGTTGGCAGCATGGCATCTGGTCATTCAGTTGACAGCCAGTCCTCCTGCCTGTCGGGCCATGGTGGTCCTCATTGTTTTTTGCCCTCCTACCTCTTTAAGTCCTTGCAGGCTGACGACAAGTTGTCATCGAAGTCCTCCGTTTGGGCCAATGCAAAGGACTGAAACCCAAGCCGTTACAGTCATATTGATGTACCATAGGGAAAGATGCGGGAGATTGCTTGGAAGACAGTCTCCATTTGCTGTGTGCAGAGCACTTTCCTAGTGAGAATGGGGCAGTCCAAATTGCAGTTCCATCTCATGCATGAAAGCCCCAAGGAACTGATGGTAGTCTACCAAGCAATTAAGCAGGTTGTTAACCACCACTTAAAACAGTAGAAGTTATGTTGGTGACAACTAAGGGAGTAGTTTTGGAAGTCCCAAGTCCTCTGCAGGATTTGCAGAAGGGCACCAAGATCCTTGCGGCGGATGGTACCTTGGTAGAGGTGATCAAGTTGGAGGTGCAGAAGACCAACAAACTGCTCGAGTTGGAGAGACTTGGCACGGTTGAAGAAAATATCCGGACTGAAAAAAAATTGGTGATTTAATGATCTTTCACATATTGAGTTTCTTAAAGATGGTTTTCCTTATTTGTTCGGTATGAGTGGCCAGAAAAGGCAACGATTCTTTTTGAGGAGGATGGCAACATGTGGGCTACCACCAAAAAGGTCTATGTAAGGGATATGTATTGGAATGGACTAGCTCAAAACCTGCAAAAACGAAGGCGACCCTTTAAAACGAAGGCAAACCTTACAACTAAAGTTTGTTGATAGATTTCCATTTGAGCAGCGAACGTCAAGAATGGTGTATCATGGGGTTATTGTCCTTTGGTCTTTACCTGTTTTCCCTTGTCTTCCTTTTGTTTCCTTTCTTGCTTTCATGCCTTTCCTGTGACAGTTTCTGTTGGCTTCCTTTCCGCCTTCGTTTCTTTCTGTTGATCCCGGTTGTTTTTTCCTATCTTGTTTTTCCTCCTGCTGCATTTGCATTTTGTCAAGTGTCTGCTTTCCGCCTGCAAGTATTCTTTTCATCCGGCGGTTTCGTTTTCCCGTCCTCCACTGCTACTGCTCCTGCTCCTGCTCCTGCTGCTTGCGCTGCCACTGTTGCTTCTTCTAGCATCTTTGTCGCTTCTACGAGTCACAGTACTACTTCTGGCACATCCTGGCACATTTTTTTACACATTTTGCCATTGCTGCTGCCATTAGCTCGAAATGATGACTGCGCGATACCGCGCGTATATTTGTGAAGGTTTGGTCGAAACCCTTGTAAAACGAAGGCAACCCTTTAAAACGAAGGAAACATAGATATTCCAGTTTGGGGCAATAGAGTTTTGGAGGTAGCTCATGTGCAGTAAAGTGATTGCACAATATCTAAGGATTGACGAAGCAGTGCCGTTCACCACGACCCCCAGCCACCGCATCATGGTCCCATCGGATGGTGACGACATGACCATCAAGGCGGTCGACCTGAAACTGGGGAGTTGGGTGATGTGCAGCGATGACATGGCCAAGAAGGTCAAGGGGATGAGATTTATCCATGCAGCTGGGCCAAGATGTTGATGAATGTCTGTCTGTGCGGCTTTGTTGGGACAAGATATCGATGCTAAAAATCATATTGAATCGATTGGGTATCATGCAGATTTAATTATGATGTGGGCATAGCCGTTTCATGTTGAACAGCACGTTTTGGGTGCGAACAGCTACATGATGCTGCATGATTTCCCCTTCAGTCATCCAGACGATTCCACACTTAACAGTTAACAAGCAGACAAGATTTGGCCATCTGCCAGCTCCCGTCCCAGAGCCCAGGTTGAGGAACAAGAGGTGCTGGCCATCACCTTCCACCCAGACAAGGCCGTGGCGTGCTTCCTGCCACCCGAGGAGCCCGTCGTGTTGACCAAGGGCCGAACCCTGAAACCGCCGCGCCGCGGTGGGATGGGCGGCCGCAGTGTGAATCATGAGCTCATCAGCCTCCCAGATACGGCTGGGGGTGAATATGAGGATTGAGCGGGCGACATTGCGAAAGGTTAGGCAATTGGGTCGAAAGAGGATTTTAGATGTCTTAGTAAGATATGATTTTGCGATATTTTGCGACACATTCCAAAAAACTGTGCCTAGAGTAGCCGAGTATGGAATGAGGGAGACCCAGAAAGGCCCATGCCTTGACATTTCCTTGAGAGCTCAGAGGCCTGAGGATCGGACTTCCCATGGCAAAGAAACTACTTCTTGGTTCAGAACCGTTTATTCCTTTGTTGTTCTCCATTAGATTGGTTGTGCAAGCTTTGATGCTGCAACCTATGCCTCTTTCAACTCAGATATGAATTATATATACATTGCTGGGGACATGATTTTTGAGGTTCTACTTTCCAAACTGGGATGACCCCACTAGTGTCGAGTCCGCATGGTTCCTCAGACTGCCTTTCGCAGAAAACTGCATGTCGCATAATTAAAGGTTCTGCGGACCGAAGAGTCAGCGATGGTGCTGCAATGTGGTGAGTTTGCAGAAGATACGTAGGACCTGCATCATTTGTTGGAATATAAAAATTCGTTCCCGAAAACGTGGCACCATCAGTACCATCTGGGAATGTCGTTTGACCCTTGATTTACATCGGTTTGCATCATTGAAGCAGTGACCAAAACATTTTCTGTGCCATTTCACCAACATTTCGACATCACACACCACGTGGCCGTCCAAGCTGCCGCAGCTGCGGTGTGCACGGCTAGTCGAGCCAGCTGCTGCCGCGGTGTCTTCCAGGCCCAGGATTCGACCTCCAAACCGCTGTAAGTGGTCCTCGGCCAACACATATACTTATTATCCAGATCTATCCAGCCATTGATAATATTTGATAATTATTGACTATTTTATGTATATATATATATTTATAAGCATGTCTCTCTACCATGTTTTTGGGCTATCTCTTTAGGCACTGTTTCGCAATTTTTGTCCCTAACTTTTGGGAATTGTTGTCCCTAACGTTTGCCTCTTTGGGGAATTTTTGTCCCTAACTTGGGGGCAAAAATTCCCCAAAGAGGCAAAAGTTAGGGACAAAAATTACCAAACTTAGGCCAAACTTAGGGACAATAATTACCCAAACGTAGGGACAATAATTGCCCAAACTTGGGGACAATAATTACCAAACTTAGGCCAAACTTAGGGACAATAATTCCCCAAACTTGGGGACAACAATTACCAAACCTAGGGACAATAATTACCCAAACTTGGACAAAATAGCTCTAAAGAAAGCGTGGTAGAGCGCCATGCTAATATATATATATATATACATATATACATCTTAGATTCTTATTGTTGGTGTTGTGGCCATATATCCATCATTGGTGGTCTTAGGCCACTCGGATGAAGTCCACCAAGTTGAGGTCGACGGCCTGGGCTCGGCATTTTGTCACACAGAGCACATGAACGTCCGTAGTGCCATGTGATCAGCAATCTGTTTCGACGGCCACGGCAAAAATTGTGGGGTGTGCCAAGCGGGGGTCATGGTTTGCTCCTTCATAGTGCTGCAATTTATTGCCAATCCATGAATGAAGGAATCATAGCTGGGAACGACTCTGTCAAGATTTGTTGCCGCTGGCGTTGCTCACTTCGAAGCATGACAAGCCTTTACTTCAACAAAATACATGTTAGTTTTGTTTCATTTTTAGAAATACATTTTGATGCATTGAACCATATCAAACCATATCAAACCTACTTGTGGCAAAGAACGCCAGCTACAGGTGTGAAACATTGACCAGCTGTCTTTGGAAACCAACATCCCAAAGTGGTTTGTTTCCCAGTTTCCCATTCCCATCCCCACTGACTCCATCCGTCCATAGTTCGACGGTCGCCAAAATTCCTGAGGCCAAGCACGGTGACGGGTGCAGGTGCCAAGGGCACTGGTGGAAATGTTGGGAGAGATGGAGCTCGGTGAATGCACAGAGGAAAAGGTTTTGAGAATAAACTATAATTACTCAACAATAGTTATGCTATGTTATCATTATAATTATAATCTATCATATAGATATACAGTGACTCAACGAACTTGGCTGGACAATTTGAAACCCACTATTGGGGAATTTGCATCGTTGATTCCGTTTTAATCTAAGTTCATGCAATCAAAGCGGAATTATGAAAAGCAACATCTATGAACATATTGAATATATTATTTTTAATATACATATGAATATATAATACATATATATATAGTATTTGTGTTTCTAGACACTGATCCATGGGGTAAATCCGCGGATGCGCAAGCTGGCCGCCTGAGGTTATCCCCTTGGGGGGGTGGCTGAGGTTTGTCCCCTCTTTTGGTGCAAAGTATCTTTGGAGGAAAGCTTCCAGTTTGATTGACCCACAAGGCGTATCATAAAGTTGCAGGTCGAGATTGATGATTGGCTAGAGCAGATTGCCTCATATCACTCATGAGTTCGTGGCCACGCAAACAAAGCCACTTTCAATTACTGTAGTCACTTTTTTGGGGGCATTCGCTGGTTGAAGAACCTGAGATTTGGGACTACTTGTGCCATGAGACTTCGGTTCAAGATGGGGGTTTGCCCAAAATAGTGGATAGCCTAGGGGAAAAAAACGTTGAAAAATATTGAAGCATACTACTTTCAACACCATTTGAGTTTTTTTTCCAACTTTTTTTTATATAAATAAACCCAAACAGTTTTTGTTCATTGACTTATAGTGAAAATCTCAGTGATAATGATAACCTCCTGGATTTTCCTGTTCCAACATATGTTTTTTGGAGCCTCCAAGGTGTTGGTCCACAGGCGACCCCTCAATGACTCGATCCGCCAGGTGCCAGAGACGCTGCTGCGATCAGCCGTGGAGGTGTGGCGCAGGGAGTTTGAGCGGTGCAACTGGGGGGTTACCATTTCGGTGGGGAAGATTTTTACCATTCCTTGGGGTTACCATTCGTTGTTTAAAAAAAAACATGGGTCAAACAATGGCATTGAAGTGGACCTAATTTTAATATAGTATTATATTGGGATAATAATGTGATACTGAAACTTTAGTTTACGAGTTGTTTTTTGGGAGGTCAACACTGTGCTGAGCTGGGTTATTGGAGATGATTTTCACCCATAATGGGAATCCGTATTAATCGACCAGTATATAAAAGGATGATAGAGGACAGCGGGTTTTGAACGTTGCTCACATGGGTTAGTGTGAAAATATGCTATACCTACAATATATAAATTGTCATGTTATTTGTGAAAATAATGATCAACCCTTGTTTGGGTACATGTATATAGTCAATTTTGGACGATCATACATGTGTGCGTATGTTCTTCTTCAAGCTCCAAAAGCTTGAGGATGACTTAAGCATACAATCGGAACATATGGGAAGCTGTCAAGGGGACAATTGCCCATTTTTTTTCAAGGTCCTGTTGTCCCAAGAATATGACAGCACCTCAAGTTTCAGAGTGTTGCGAAAACTGGGGCAGATTCACCCATATCAATGTAGGTTACAAGCAGCGTCCAATTCCAAGATTTTCACCATTTACAACCACAGCAAGATATGCTGTAGATTCATATGCAAGAAGATAGGTATGTCATTATCCTGGAATAGATAGACTGCTATCCCTCTTTCCAAAGTTCAGAAGATATTCTTCCAATTTGCTATGATCCAATGTCCTGTTCTATCCAATGACAGTTATCAATCAATGGTCCTTGAATGTTATTAATAACTACGGACTATGGCGGTGATGTATTGTGATCTACATTCCCCCCTCATATGAAACATGAACTTTGGTTTCAACACGTGTTTGTCACATGATGAAACATGCGTTGCAGGCGGTGCTGAAGACGGTGGCTCTAGAGGATCCGCTGGGTGTTGTATTCACAAAGGGTATTTGCTGGCTGTGAAGGTAACTTGTCCCCTTTACCAGACAAGGTGGATGATAGATGGGTTGTTGCTTCTTTGGATCTGGGAAACCCCAAATGGTTCCGAAGTTTATGTTCAAGTACTGGAAATGATGTTGAGCACTGGGGATTCACAAGATATCGGATGGATTCCTGTAATTTTCAAGCAGCCACGAACTTCATGTTGTTTTTGGTACCATTTTAAGACCTATTGTCGATGCGTAATTCGGGATCCTGAGAGTTTCAAAAGGTTTGCCTATTTGTGACGGTCCAGTTTTACGCTCTGCTCTTTCCACCGAGGAAGATATAGATGTATACTTCATCTTAAGCAGACTTGCTCCTTTTAGTTAGTTAGAGTGCATCCTATTGGCCGTGCATCAATACACCAGTCACCTAGTTGGGGGTATCAAGTATCAAGATGAAGCTCAAGCTTTGATATGTTCATCTTGGATGAAGTAAATAAATATGATCCAAAACTGGCTTCCATGTCATGCTTAACAACTTGGGAACTAAATTCACCGGGATGGCTTCATCGAAGCATCAAGCATTCTGAACCATCAACCTGTGAATCGTTGGATATCGAGATCGAAATCAGCGACCCCGTCATGCTGTCCCCATTTGGATAGAGTGACAGGACAAGCACCCCGTTTCTGGGATAGTCAGAACAGTTATTTCAAGACCTGGGATATTCCACATGAATGGATGGATGAACATCCATGTACCAACCTTTTGATGTTCACCGGGGCATCCGGCTTTGATTGATGTCGAAGGCAATCTGGTTTGTGATCGCATCATTTCTTGTTGATATGCTTGGCAAACAGACGAAAGCCCTGGGTATCCCAAGATCTTAATGAGATCGTAAAGTATCGTAAATACATTCATATAATATATTTTAATATAATCTATAGATTCCCAACATCCTGCAATGTCCAAAACAAAACGTGATGAGACAGTTCTGAAACATCGAAATTTGGCAGGTATCTGGAAGGTGAACCCTAACCCATGCCCAGATGTTTTTTCATCGGTTCCCCTGCAGCAGGACCTAGGAATCCTGCCAAGGCTGTTGTTATGTTGGGCGGGAAATTGGGTGGATTGAACCAGGGGTACCCTATCAGAACAAAATTATTATCTATGGAAAATCAATTTTTTTAGTAGGTAAATCAACTATAAATGGTTAGTTTACCAGAGGGTATATCAACATGATCAACCTCATCAACATCATCTGGTTGGTGGTTTGGAACATGAATTTTATGACTTTCCATATATTGGGAATGTCATCATCCCAACTGACGAACTCATATTTTTCAGAGGGGTAGGTATACCACCAACCAGTCAAGTTAAGTGGGACTTCCATTTTTCCCGGTAAATCAAATCAGGGAAAAATTGAGAAGATCATGTTTGTTTTCTACTTTGTCAGCTTGTATAGCGTCGTATGGGTTTTCTTTACATTGAAGAATCCTCATCGGCCATGAGTGATGGCATCCCAAATAAGAAAAGCTGTCTCTGACCCTTGATTTTTGCTTGGTACTACAGTAGTTGATTATACGTTTTTATTGTACTTTTGTCATGTTTGATCGGAGATAAATCTCAGGGTGGACTCATCCCTCACCAAAGTCGACGCCTCATGGATGGTAACATCAGAAGTTGACCACTCATAGATGCTGATATCAAACAAATGTCAACAAAGTGACCCCCCCATGGAGACTCATACAATGCTAATTTTCATCACAATGGCCCCCGGACGGATGATAATATGTGGCTACTTTCAACAGAATGGACCCTTCTCCAATAACGGGGAGTTGATTAAGTGTGTTGTGTTTTGGGAAAAACAAAAACAAAAAGGTGTTTCCATTATTGGTTTATATGATGATTATTAATCCAAGTTGGCCATTACTCTTCATTAAAAAATCCTGAAAGTCTGGATCTCCATCTACTTGGGAGTGTCATACAGAAGATAATAAAGGCTGTCAGCAAGTAGAGACCACTGGACTTGCCACGCTTATTAGTGCTAAATCTTCAGGCCATCAACACAGTTATAAAGGCTTGCACTTTCCAAGAGCATCGAAGACGTTTTGATTTGCTCAAGTAATTCATCATCCTTTCTGCCAGAAAATATAAACAGATACTTGAACCCTCCCGTCTACACCAAGCCCCAAGATCATCGATTACCATTTGGCATAAATAGAAAACAACGTAAAACATATCACATGCATCAAGTATATCCATGTCAGATGTATACATGAAAAATATGCATATATTATATAGACTCATATATTATATATATAACTGATATGTCCATCCCCCTTCCCATAAATCCACCAACATTGGATTCCCTCCACCAGGGCGTCACGTCGGGGCAGCCAAGCAGTGCACCTGTTGCTTTACTCCCCATGGATCCTCCACGGAAACAGAAGTGCAATCCCTTGTTGTTGTTTAAATGATGTTTGTTGTTTTGATGTGTTTTGATGTGTTGTGTTTTTGATGTGTTTGTCTTGTTTCTTGATATTTCTTGATGAACATGATGTGTGTTCATAAAGGTTTGTGGACTTGGAGATTACTGCACCATGTTTTCCACCACATTGATCAGTTGGGAGATCACTGCGCAAACTTTGTTGGAGGAAATGCTTCTGGTAAAACGATGGTTTCACGGAAGCCCGTGGACCAATAAAATCGCAACCCGGATCCAATGCACATCATCTTGACCTATGTCGAAAATTGTTGGATTCGGAATACTTTCGATGACATCCCAAGGCGAAAAGGTTTTTGGGGCAAGACACAAACACCTCCGATTTCTTTTGCAACAGGCTGCTTGCGCCGACCTTCCCGCAGCCTGAAGTGCCTCAGAGCCTCAGAAGAAGCAACCTGCCGAGGAGCCATTGGAATCCATGGCCAGCATACCGGAGATCTATCCCAAGCTGCGAGAAGCACTGGAGCAATTTCTCCATGACCAGGCAGAGGTGGAGAGCAAGTCGGGCGAATCTTGGACGTCGCAAAAATTGCAACAAACCAGACGAGAAGCAATGATTCGGGCATGCGGTTTTGTAGAAAAGTTTCGAACGGTCACAAGAATGGACTTGGACGAGGAAGACATCGTGTCAATGGAGGATCTCGCTGTGGTCTGTGCCAAATCTCAATTCTGGGACAAGGATCTCTGGCAACAATCTGTCAGTCACACCTATGGGTATGTTCTTTCATGTCCATATGAGCACTCAGAGGTGAAAAGGGTTGCGGAAGATCTTTTGTGCCTCCTGAAGCCGGTGGAGGAGGAGGAGGAAGAGTTGCTGCCTCCCGCAAGTCCAACAGATCAGCGGATTTGGGAGATCTTTGCATCTGCAAAGATGCAGCACAAACAGTTCAGCATCGTGGCCGTCTATGCAGGATTTCAGAGGAGTCTTCCAGAAACCAATGAATTGGTGCAGTCAATGCAGGCCAAATTCAAAAGCCTCCTGTCATCTTTCCAGCATGTGCAGCTGCAGATGGAGAGACAAGGGCTTCTCGGCCCAGAGCTCCAGACCAAGATGACCCGCTTCCCCAAACGGCTCAAGTCGTACTGCCAAGGCTTTGCGACCAGCATGATGACCCGATGGGGAGACCAACATGGAAAAAAGGCCTTTGTTTACACAATTCAACTTCAGCTCGACGGGATGACACAGCGGTGGTCACGGCTTTCGGCCGAAGCTTCGCAGATCGCAGCTCAGGTGAAGGAGCTCGAGCTGCCTGAGGTCAACTCCCTGGGCTCATGGAGCCTGGTCTCAAGAGGTGGAAGGCTGGTTGAACATTTGGAAGTTGGCAGCATGGCATCTGGCCATTCGGTTGACAGCCAGACGTCGTGCCTGTCAGGCCATGGTGGGCCCCACTGCTTTCTGCCTTCGCATCTCTTCAAAGTCTTCCAGCCTGGAGGTGAAGCTCCAGTTTCCCTGGTGTCTGCACAGGACTGACTTCAAACTGCTATGGGGCTATGGGAATACGATGGATTGGGTTTGTAGAATGCAGTTTCAAGGGCTGCAATTCATCCATGTTTCAGGCGGAAAGTTATGGATGGGATCTTTGGACTCTCATAAGATGTGATGTGAGTCATGATCAATGGACTGGCTTTGAATCCCACCATCCTGCACAGATTCGGTGGAGATCATGTTGAATTTCCAGGATTTGCAGAATGGTGCCAAGATCCTGTCGGCAGATGATGCTTCGATGGAAGTGATCAAGGTGGAAAGGCAGAAAACCAACAAGCTGCTGGAATTGGAGAGGCCTGACAGAGCTTTAGGTGGCAGATTCGATGAGATGGAAGTGATGATTTCTGGATCTCCCATCGGGAAAGTGATTGATTTGGTTGTAATTAATTAGTGCTTTTGAAGATGTTTGAACATATATATGTATATACATATGCATTCAAACTCAAACATCATAAAATATCATAAAGTATCCTTTACACCCGAAGACTTGACTGTGCTTCCTCAGATGCAATTTCCGCAAGTGCAACTCCGTAACACATGCGCCAGCGAACTGAGGATTGATGATGCGGTGCCCTTCACAACCACCCCCAATCATCGTATCATGGTCCCGTCTGATGGTGACGAGAAGACTGTCAAAGCCGTAGACCTGAAACTGGGAAGTTGGGTGCTGTGCAGCGATCGTGTGGCCAAGAAAGTGATTGGAAAGAGGGAATACCTTGCACTTCGGCTGCCAAGATGTTCGACTTGATTGTTTGCTGTTGTTTTCTTCATCGATTGATCTCTGAACTGGGTTGCCGGTAGATCTATAAGAGTCTAAGAGTCGTTTTGTTCATTTTCGTTCATGATTCAGCAGTTCCCTTACCATGTGTCATCCACCCTCGTGTTTGGAGGGTTGTCGTACACAGGCTTTGCCACAATTTAGTGATTGACATTTCACCTTGTTGAGACATGCTGGTGTGTTTCCGGGCACTTTCTCGCAATGATTTCATCTTTCACCAACTTCCATCTTGATCCCATTCCTTTCCAACCTCTCCCAACAATATCAGGCACTCACTTTTCCACTGCCCAGGTCGAAGACCAGGAGGTGTTGGCCAGCACCTTCCATCCCGACAAGGCTGTGGCGTGCTTCCTGCCACCCGACAAGCCGCTGGTGTTGTCCAAGGGCCTGACCCGCAAACCCATCCGTCGCAGTGGCATGAACCGCCGCGTGCGCCGCCGTGTGGATGGAGATGAGGTGGCCAGTGTGCCTGAGACGGCAGCGGGGGAATATGAGGACTGAGTGAACGTAGAGAGCTTCGGCAGATGTAGTTGGCTGGGCAAAGTTGTCACATTTTTGCATTGTTTGATTTTTTGGCTATTGTATGAATTCGTAGATGGTTGAAAGAAATTGTTGGAATGAAAAAAAGACACCACGGAAGCCCCAAGGATGTTAGATGCAATATCTGACTTGCTTTCCCAGCCTCGTTGTTCATTTTGACATCCCCTCCAGAGCCCAGCTCCTCGAGTCTTGGGCCTGGGGTTCGGAAACTGAAAGATCTGAAAGATGGGACCATCCTTGGACTCTACTTTTCACATGACCAGTTGTTTTAGCATCATTCGTCATGTTTGATCATCAAATCATTGTGAAAGTGTTGTTTTTAGAGGAAATCAGGACTACCCGTTTTGGTTTGATCTTGTGGTTCTCAGAATGATCCTGGTAGTTGCTTCACTGACAGTTCTTCCCGCTTTATGTCTTCAGAAGAGGTTGTCATATCTTGTCATATGTTGTCATATTATTTGATCTTGCAACTGGCTAAGTGAATTACGGGTGGTTATGTTTTTTGTAAGCGAGTTCCCTTTGCGGAAGACCCAGATGGCCCCTGCAGTGAGGTGCGCACGTGATTCTTCAGAGTGCCTGTCACAGCCTGCATGGTAATTAAAGATTCCAGAGACCGAAGAGTCAACGATGGCGCGACTTGCCCATCGACTTGGTGAGTTTGCAAGGCACTTGGAAACACATGCGATGAACTCAGTTCGAGGCTAGATGAATTCCATTCAGTACCAAGGTCAGTGTGCAGCGATCTCACCATATACCCTTGGCAATCAAAACCATTTCAAAGGTACAAACTTTCACCCCCAAGTACACCGGGTTAGCCTTCCAACCAAGCATTTATAGATTTGAAGACCAACGAAGATGTTTCGTTTTGGTTGCCCAATCCTAGACATCTGCCAGCCGCGGCTGTGATTTTTTGCCAACCGCTGCCGCGTGCACTGCTCCTGGAGCAAGTTGCCCTTGCAGCATCATCGGTTTCCCAGGGCGACCTCGAGGATGTGCCGAGTGAGAAGGGAAGGGTCATCCTGTTGCGCCCAACTCCGGTTGCAAAATACCAACACAATCGGGATGTAGACTGTTAACCAGATCTTTAAGCGGTTGCAACTGTCAGGAGGGAATCAGGGGGATTATTTTTTGCAGAGTCTGGCAGATCTGGATGGAATTACACAGCCACCCGTAGCCACTAATGTAGGTTCCTGACATGTTTTTTCTGCCGCTGTGATGAATGCCCAAACCACCCCCATCTACGGTTGAACATGCCGGTGTATTCCCACTTGTATAGGACCCTCAGCCCCTGCAAAGTAGAGATCCCAAAATGATCCAAAATGGCTCATCCCATTGAAGATCATATCCCCATTGTGGGTTGGCTATTGGTTTCCTAGCTGTAATTCTAGGTGTATCGATTGGGTTGGGTACCCTTTCCAAGTTGTTTGATGTTGTTTGTAGATCTTAGGTGGATTACTTCTGGAGGTCGCTGGCTGGGGTTCGACAGCCTCATGCAGCGTCACGCGATGTGCACCCGATCTTTCGTAGTGCCGTGTGATGGTCGTACACTGCATTGACAGATTGACAGCTGGGGCGAAAAGTGGCTGTCTCAAGTTAGCCGGTTGGCCGGGTGGTTTGCTGAACCTGTATCGAATCAATTCGAATCACATGCATACTGCGTCTCATTAATTACATCCAGTCTTACAAGTGCGATATACTTCTTGAGTCTTATTGATACTGACGTCATACCCTGAATTGCCTAGCGGCTTTTGGAAGCAGTTCCTACTCAGCTCCTACTCGTACCGAAGACAACCAGATGATTGTTTGCTACAAGTACAACCCACTAACAGTGACCATTTTCTTTTGGAAACAAACATTCAAAAGCAGTTTGTTTCCCATTCCTTTCCCATTCCAAAAGTGGTTCCTTCCCACCCTTAGCCCGCGAAATCCTGAGGCCAAGCACTGCGACTGGTGCAGGTGCTAAGGGCACTGGTGGAGATTTTGGGGAGAGGTGGCGCTCAGTGACAGGGGCGAGGCTGGAAGATCTGGAAGTAATTTGTATTCAACAATAATTTAGATTATAGTGGCTCATGGAAATCCCATGAAATCCCCAAGTCATTCCAAAGTTGATGTCCAAGTATTGGGAAACCAGGCGAAGTGAATCGGGGAATTCTAAAGGATATGGGATGGATTGATGTCAGTTTCAAGCGGCAATCATGAACGTCATGCTTTACAGGCACCACTGTAGGACCTATTGCCAATGTGCAGGGATCATGGGATGTGTGTAATTTCCCTTGGGATTGTTCACTTGTGTATTCGACCCCAGATATGTCGATATAGTCCACTGATGTCTATATACTCCACATAAATCAGGCCCCTATGCCCCTATTGATTTGAGACCATCGTTTGCCACAGCTATACCATCCAGCTAGTTCGGGGTGTCAGAAACGACACTCCAAAACTGGTGTCCTTGTCATGATTCCGTAGACCCAATCTGGGTGACTTGACGGCACGCAAAGCCACATGAGGATTTCCGTATGAGTGAGTTGATGAACATCCATTTTCCAAAAAATGATGCTCACCAGGCATTATAGGGTTTGATCTATAAACCTATAATATCCTATAATATCTATTTCTATCGCCATGCGACATAGGAGCATGGGGTTGTGATCACGCCATTTCTTAGTCATGTCTGAAAAAGAAGAAAGCTACTACTATCTTTAAATCTTCAAATACAATCCAGACATCCTGAAATGTCCAAAACAATATGAGATGAGACAGTTCTAGAACACCCAAGCTCGGCCTGCATCTGGAACTTGAACTCTGACCCCTCCCCAGATTGTTCATCGATTGCTTCTCCGCATCAGGAGGTAGGAATCCTGCTGCCCAGGTGGGTGGGATACATCACTTCACAGGGCTAGCCAATCGGAAAAAATGATTTTGAGTTAAATGGAAGTTCCATCTTTCACTTGTAAATCGAATCCGAGAAAGGGTTTTAATTGTGTTTTTTCAAATGTGTCAGGTAGTTTGGGTGTTCGTGTGGTCTTGACATGGAAATATCCTGAGGCGCTGGTAGAGACCACCTGACCCTTCGCTGGATTCATCCCTCATCAAAGTTGACCCCTCATGAGGGGTGCTCTGGGAACAAACCCAAAAACCTTGTTGGCCTCTATGGGGTTATCAATCCAGGGTAGCCAATGCTTTTGACAAAAAGAAACCTGAAAGTCCGTATCTCAATCTATTTGGGGGGCAGGGCAGTAAAGACAAACTTGCCAAGTTAATTTCAGTAAAGCAGGACGTAACACAAGGTGATTTGAAAAGGTGTCTTCGCTTTTTTATGGATCTATGATCTATGTCAAACACCAATAGCACAAGACCATGGTCGTCTCAGCTGTTGCATTTCCCCACAGGACAATGGCACCCCATGGGGAAAGTTGACCGCTCTCTCCTCCTGGTTTTCAGATTCCTGAAGCGCTTCAGGGATATGTTCTGAATCGTCGGGCCATCAACAGGTGCTTAAAGGTTGCGCTTTCCAAGAACTTTCAAGATATCTTTCATGAAATCTTTGGTGAATGATCATTCATCTTTTCTGCCAGCAAATGTCAACAGATGCTACCGTGTCTATCCTAAGCCCCAAGATCATCCATGACCATATGATGTAGATGTCCATATATAATTTGAGTTTATCGTGGTTTATCCATGGATATATGGCAGATATTTGTGCAGCACGAAACTATTCCCATTCCCACCCTCCCCAGGCGGTTCAGCAGGACGACTTTGTGCCCGAGTCAGGGGATCCAAGCACCTGCTTTCTTGATGTGTCAGCAGTGCGTCATACGTTTTGATGTGTTCTAGAATGTTATATTTGGATATTATAGTCATTTAGATATACGTGTATATAATATATATATATATATATATTATGTTATGCCTTGCTGTTTTTGATCTTTATGTTGATGTAGCTTTGAGGATTGCAATGTTTTCCATTTGGGCTCCATATTTATCAGTTTGGAGATCATTGTCATTTTGGTGACAATGTGTTTCACTTTTTTTGAGGAGGTCCTTCGTGGCCAGGTCTTGACGGATGGTTGCTTTTTAAAAGCCACGAAGGGCCAATGAATTCATCATCCTACGCACATCATGTGACCAGTCTCGTGACCTTCCTTTGTACTACGAACATGTTCTCATGTACTAGTAGGTTCACTAGGAAAAATGAAGCTTCGAAAACAAAATTTGGGATAAACATGGCTTATGTTGAAGGCTCAGGACATGGGAAAAAACTAGCTGTGAACCTATCAGTCCAAAGGGCGATTTTCGCGGGCCTTGCCTGCAGGAAATCCATCATTTGATTCGGAATAGTTTACGTAACATCGCAGAGCAAACGTCTTGTTTGGGGCAAGACACAAACGCTTCACACCGATTTTGATTGCAACAGTCTCATAAGTCTCATGACACCCGACCTCCCGCAGCCTGAAGTGCCTCAGATCATAGGGAGCAGCCATTGGAATCCATGGCCCGAAGCATACCGGAGATCTATCCCAAGCTGCGCGAAGCACTGGAGCAATTCCTCCATGACCAGGGAGAGTGGGAGAGCAAATGTGCGGAGTTGACATGCAAAGAAGCATCTGAGTTTCTACACGAAATTGGACCAGCCAGACAACATGCAAACGCCAAGGCACACCGCTTTTTGGAAAAGTTTCGGCACGGCACAGGGATTGTCGTGGCAGAGGAAGACATCGTGTCAATGGAGGATCTCGCCGTGGCCTGTTCCGGGTTGTTCTGGAATGATGACAGCTCCTGGTCGTGGTCCTTAGTTAATTACAGGTGTTGTCCATACGAGTACCCATCGTTGAAGCAGGTTGCAGAAGATCTCTTGTGCCTTTTGAAGCCGTCGCCGGTGGGTGAGCAGTTGCTTCCTCCAGAGGGACCAACAGATGTGCGGATTTGGGAAACCTTTGCAGCTGCAAAGGTGCAACAAAAGCAATTCTGCATTGCGGCTGTGTATCCAAATAAAATTGCTGGTATTGAGACAGGATTGCGACCAAGCAACTTCCTGGTATCGGCCATGGAGCGGAAATTCAGCGGCCTCGTGAATGCCTTTGAAAAGGCGCACTTCTCAATTCAAGCAGATATCAGTGCGGAGCTCCACAACAGCCTCACCAATTTCACGGCCCGACTCAATTCGTACTGCGAAGGCATGATCCGCAGAATGTGGTCGCGCTTGCAAGGGTTCCCTCGGGCAGACCTTGCGGTGGAAATGCATGAGATGACGGAGCGCTGGTCTCGGCTGTCAGCCCAAGCTTCTCAGATTGCCCATCAGGTGGCACAACTGCCTGTGGGTGCTGGTGCCCCTGAGATGAATTCCCTGGGCTCATGGAGTCTGGTTTCAGGGATTCCAAGAGATCATGGGATGGGCTTGGAGGGCCTGGAGAAGGAGCATTTGGAGGTTGGGAGCGTGGCATCAGTTAGCAGCCAGTCCTCCTGCCTGTCCGGGCATGGTGGGCCCCACTGCTTTTTGCCTTCGCATCTCTTCAAGGTCCTACGCTCGAGCAGCGCAGCTCCATCCCTGGTGTGGGCACAGGACTGATTTCAAAGTGCTACAGGAACAGGAACAGGAACATATTTGATTGGTTGTGTGCAATGAAAGTTTGGGGGTGTAATTTAATATGCCTAGGAGAACAGATATGGATTGAATTTTTGACTAAAGATCACGCTCTAATTTTCCCCAAGGATTCCAGGTTTGATGGCAGATACTGACAGTTGAGTAATAGTTCACACACAAAATGAGCCTTGAAGGCAACAATTCCTACACAGATTCGAGATCGTTTTCTATTTCCAGGATTTGCAGAGGGGTACCAAGATCCTATCGGCAGATGATGCTTCGATGGAAGTGATCAAGGTGGAAAGGCAGAAAACCAACAAGTTGCTGGAATTGGAGAGACCCGACAATGTTTGAGGAAGGATGTTAGGGGGCAAGGAGATTTGATGAGATTTGTAGATCACCCGTAGGGAAAGTGATTGATTAGTTTGTAATTAGTTGCATTTCAAGATTTTTGAGGCAATGCCATTCGAAATCCATTCGAATATATGCACTAAAGTACCCCAGAATATCCTTTAGACTCGAGTTTGATTGTACTTTGCCTGCAAGTGCACCTCCTGCACACCCTGCACACCTCGTCCAGCGAACTGAGGATTGATGATGCCGTGCCCTTCACGACCACCCCCAACCATCGCATCATGGTGCCATCGGATAGTGATGATGCAACGGTCACCGCCGTCGATCTGAAATTGGGAAGTTGGGTGATGTGCAGTGACCGCGTGGCAAAGAAGGTGGTGGGAATGCGACTGATCCCTGCGGCTGGGCTGCCAGAAGATTTCAGAGTCGGTTTGCTGTTCAGTCATGATTCAGCAATGCAGGTTTCATCCATCCTGGCGCTGGGAGGATTGTCCGTGTTAAGAGACACAGGGCTTGACCACAATTGATGATCGAAATTTGACCGTGTTAAGAACTGTTAGGAAATGTTGATGAGTTTCCAGACATGTTCTTGGTGATATGTTTTCATCTTCTACTGTTCCTCTTGATCTCCCAACAAATAATCATATCAAAGTGTATATATATAATATAATATATCAAAGTGTTAATCTCCCACTGCCCAGGTGGAAGACCAGGAAGTCTTGGCCATCACCTTCCATCCCGACAAGGCTGTGGCGTGCTTCCTGCCACCCGACAAGCCGCTGGTGTTGTCCAAGGGCCTGACCCGCAAACCCATCCGTCGCAGTGGCATGAACCGCCGCGTGCGCCGGCGTGTGGATGGAGATGAGTCGGCCAGTGTGCCTGAGACGGCAGCGGGGGAATATGAGGACTGAGTGAACGTAGAGAGCTTCGGCAGATGTTGGCTGGGCAAAGTTGTCACCAAATTTTGCTATTGTATGATTTCGTAGATGGTTGAAAGAAATTATTGGAATGAAAAAAGACACCATGGAAGCCTCAAGGATGTTAGATGCAAGATCTGACTTGCTTTCCCAGTATCGTTTTTCATTTTGACATCCCCTCCAGAGCCCGGCTCCTCGAGTCTTGGGCCTGGGGTTCGGAAACTGAAAGATCTGAAAGATGGGACCATCCTTGAACTTTTTGAGCACTTGCTTTAGCATAATTCGATATAATTCGTTATATTTTATCATCAAAATCATGGTGAAGTGTTGTTTTTAGAGCAATTCAGGACTACACATTTTGATTTGATCTTGTTGTTCTCAGAATGATCCTGGTTGTCATATCTTGTCATATGTTGTCATACTATTTGATCTTGCAACTGGCTTGTTATCTTGTGTTAAAAAAGTGATTTCCCTTTGCGGGAAACTGAGATGGCCCCTGAAGTGGCTTGCGCACATGATTTTTCAGAGTGCCTGCCACACAAAGCCTGCATGGTAATTAAAGATTCCAGAGACCGAAGAGTCAACGATGGCGCGACTTGCCCATCAACTTGGTGAGTTTGCAAGGCATTTGGAGACACATGCAATTCATTTCAGGATCCATGATCCGTGATGAGATTCATTTTGAGTAGCAATTTTAGTAATCATGCAGCGATCTCACCATATACCATTGGCAATCAAAACATTCCAAACAGACAAGTTGTTCACCCACAAGCATACTGGGTTAGAACCCAGCAAAATAATCGACATATGTAAGTGTCCCTGCCAACCAAACAATTATGGACTTGAAAATCACAGAAGTGTTCAGTTTTGGTTGCCCAATCCTAGACATCTGCCGGCCATGGCTATGAAATTTTGCCACCAACCGCTGCCGCGTGCACTGCTCCTCGAGCAAGTTGCCCCTGCGGTGTCATCGGTTTCCCAGGACAACCTCCCAGCATGGTGATGTAGGTGCTGAGCCAGCATTGATGTATAGCTATAGGTGGTTTATCCATGTTTATCCTGATAGGCCTCTATACATTGATCACAGATGTGGTTGGAAACAGCAGGGGCCCATGATTTTTGCCCCCAAATACAAATGGGCATGTTTTCATGGCAGGTTGCTGGCCTGGGGATGCGACAGCGTCAGCGTCACACATCGTGCACCCGATTTTTCGTAGTGCCGTGTGATCGCGACAGACAGAGGGCCGTGGCGAGAAAAAGTGGAAGTGCGAAACCTGCAGTTTTTTTATCATCTTCTGGTTGGTGTTTTCAAGTTGTTATTGTTTTTGAACCATACTTAGGATTCTCGCTTGGGATGACTAATATTCTGAGGACTACTTTTTGGGTGTCTTTAAACCAGCAGTCAAGTTTTGATGTCCAATCAGCTTACAGGTAAGGTCAATCAACAAGTGCTAGACCATCCAACATCCCCCAGGCTGGGCATTGGCAGAGAACTGGACCAGACACGGGGAACCTCCGCGCGTGTGGCCCTAAGTGGATTGCAAACCAGCCCCGTAAACTGCGGATCCCTCATATACGAGCACCTTATGTTTGAGTCCCTTCTTGATTAGCAATTTTATGGTGAATAATTCAAAGAGATTCAAAGAGGCATACCTTCTCTTGAGCAATCTGACATAACACCGGACATGTCTTGGTGTTGAGATTTCCCAACCATGTTTCATTCGCAGCTATTGAAGATGATTTTTTATTGACAGCTGACTCAGGTATTCTCTTTAAATCCACCAGAGGTATCGCCAAAAGGCCCATTTTTGTCCGCCTGTGGTGCTTAAAACCAAGACAATGCTTTTGCGGCCTTGAGGTTTTGAAGATGGGGTGGCCCTTATCACCGGTGGCTCTGGAGGACGAGGGGTATGACGAGGGGTATACCCTATTTTCAGGCACACCCAATGGTCTTCAATAGGGTGTGTCAGTCCAATATCCTGTTCAGCTAAGTGACTTTTCTGGACATCTGACATCTCATGGTTTTGCCCAGAAAAGTCACTTAGCTGAACAACACAGACAAACTAGGGAATGATGATCCAGCCAACTGGCAAAATGCAAGGGGCTCAAAAACTCGGCAACCACAAATTTGCCGAATCCAGATTATATCATGTGGTGATTTGACCAAATTACATGAACTTATTTACTGTTTTTTTCCCTATTGCCCGCTTAGATTGTCACAAGTTATCTTCCCACCCGGGGTGCTATTCGTATTTGCCTATTTTTTATGGTTAAATCACTCATCACGTAAATATATACCAAAGGCGTGATATTTCATAGCTGTACATGTGAAGATTCATTTGGGAGATTTTGATGATGGCTGGCAATGGGACTCCCAATGTTCACTTCAGCCAGATGCCTCCAGGACTTGGGATAACCACTGCCGAGGCGGTTTGGCGGCTTGGGTGGGATTAGGAACATGGTTCCAAGTTACAGCATTGCCAATTCAAGCGAAAAGTTGTTTTGTGAGGATTTCATCCACAAGTATCCGCAGCAGTGGGGGTGGTCATACACATCAATGAGTGACCGATACCGACACTGTTGATTCGACAAAAAAGCCTGAGAAGCCCATGTGACAAGCATGGCTGAGGCTGGTAGAGCTTTGTCCATCCAAGAGTTGCCGATGCAGGAGAACACCTGCAGGAAGATCAATGTGATATTTTAATCATTTTTGGAGCAACCCGAAACAGCATTGTCTACACTCTCGAACCCATATTATAAATTCAATGGTTTAACAGCCGCCCCCTCCTTTTCCAGGGATTTGAAGCCCTCCCTAACCTCTGGAGGCCCTAGTCGAGTACGGTGTGCGAAACCTGGTGCTCTGCTCCCGTTCGGGCCGTGTCTCCGTGGACGCTCCCGGGCAGTTGCTGCAGAGGCTGTGGCCCTGTGGGGGATCATTGGTGGAGAAGGACGTGGATGATCCTGAAGATGGGGATTTATGACAACTTGGGTACGGACAATGATATAAAATTATCTTGGAAATGGGGAGTTCACCTGCAGTTTTTGCAAGGAAATGGATACCATCGAACATTGGAGGTTTACTACAGTATTGAGTTTGCCACATTGGCAGCTGGATGATTTCAGCCCTCGTCACCGGCATTTTTTTCGATGGGTGAGAACATGTTGCAACCAACAGCGGCATCTTGCAAACACCCAAAGCAATCATGTGATTCCAATGTACCGTCCTTGCCCCCCCAAACAACGGTTTGTTTTCCACAAGTTACCACCTATAGACTTAATTATAGATACAACATTATATAACTTTCCGAATCAAGACCCAAACAGAACCCTTGTAGTCACTGCTAACCCATCAACATTGCCACCTCAAAGCTCCAAAAAAAGACAGCAGAACTCATTTGGTCCTTCAAAGTCTACGTTTTCCTCCAAAATTGTCGATTAAATCGAAATTCCAATAATTAGTAGGTTTTAAGTCTGTATTCCCCACATGCCCATTTCTTGACCGTTTATCTCTCCATGTTTGTTGCTCTGGTTGCTGTTTGTCCATTTTCTGGCTTGTCTCTCATGCCCAACTTGTCTCCCCATACTTTCCTCGGAGATTTCCCCATGAAAATTGATCTAAGGGTGCCTCCCCTAAGTGGTCAACCCTACACTGTTTCATTGTCGTTAACATCCATCAAACCTTATCAGTGGCACTTATTGAACCATATCATGCAAACTTCTATTTGATTGGCGGGCACAACCCCAATCAAAATTATCAAACCAAATGCTTATCAAACATGTTATATATATATACATAAGTTGATTAAGCTGTTTAGACCTCGATTTGTTCTGGTGTACCCTTAGAATCCCTTAGATCTCCACGAGGAAATCACCATAGCGCACCTTTGGTGCCAGGCTCGAGAAGTTGAAGGAGACGGCCACGGTGACCCTGGAGGCAGCACTCGGGGAAGTCTATCGTGAAAAATCCAATGACCATCAAAATACTTGAGGATTAAGGCTTATGAAGTGTAGGTTTTTTCTGACTTTTCATGGGTGTGCTACTACAAAGCAGCGTTGACGAACCGACCTTTGCTACTGGTGTTCACTATCGCCCGTCTCCGGGAAGGCCTGCGACGCCTCGCAAGAAGATCAAGTGGTGGCACTGTCGCTTGGAGATGAGTTGCATGGGTTGGGATGGGTCGAAAAATGGTTGCAGCACCTCACTGGATGAGTGTCATGAATTTTATGAATGATGTGGTTGGTATATTGGGAAAACCAGGTGGAAATATCTTGAAAGTGGGTTGTTTGAGGTTTGGGAATGGGGATGAGGTGCATAGATCTGGGCTGGATGCTGGCTTTACTTCCCATCAGCGGCAGTTGTATCCCCCTTTGTGGAACAGGTTATCTTCAGCGATGGGTCAATGTTGAAGGGACAAGGAACTACAGAGTTGTTGTTGATCATGTCTTGTGGTAAAGAATGTCATGTTGGCCATGTTGGTCTATTTTGGAGTGCGGTACCCAATTGTGATCCAAAAGCAATATCGCTATTTCCTCAAATTTGGGGACCCAAACAGTTGATCATGAACCACACCCATGTTGACACCTGGCCTTGAATAGTTGCATGAGTATGGCCTTGAATAGTTGCATGAGTATCACAAGGAATCCGCACAACCATTTCCACGCTATCTATGGTTTGGATGTGATCATGAACCGGAGGTCCCCCAAAAGTTTGTAGCATGTGACATTCGGCCATACAGCAGTGGAGGGGTCATAGCATCCAGCCCTTGAGGTTGCAGAAGCTCCGTGCGGGCCATGGTGGATTGGTGGCTGATGTGAGTTTTGGACCTGAAATCTATACTGATTGGTGGTTCGGAACATGTTTTATTTTTCCATATATATATATATATATTGATTGGGAATAATCATCCCAAGTGACGAACTCCATCATTTTTCAGAGGGGTAGGTATACCACCAACCAGTCTTAGGTGCAAAACCTCCAATTCCAATGGATCACATCATGATTCCCTTTTATATAAACTGATTTAAAATAGCCACAACGGGGGTGCATACCCCATTTTCAGACACACCCGTATGGTTAACTTCACGTGATGAGATGATGTAGGCGAAATCAGCAACTGGGCGAAGTTTGTTGCCGTTTTTTTGAGGAAACATCTAGTGGAATCAGATCCTTCTGACATATCTGTTGGCTCAGAAAAAACCATGCGCCAGATGCATCACCTCTGTGGTAATGTGTCCTCCCTCAGACCACTGCGGCAGGTACAACCTGCGGCCCACTGCGCTGGGTGGTTAATGCTGCATCTTGTTTGCACAAGTCCAAGGTGTAGCTACAACGTGTTTGTTTTTTTTGTTTCACTGAGGCAAGAACATAGTTTGTTTGGAACTTAAGACATGAATCTTGGCCGATTATTGACTAAAGATAGGATTGAACCTTGCATATCTTGCGTTTCAGCTTCAGAAATGAAGAGATCTGTGATGATCTGTGCTATGTTGGAGTATTAGAATCAACAATGAATAGGACATGGTTAGCTGCCACGCCAGGCTGGTATCGTACTCCCCAAAGACGACCCTGATCATTTGAAGGCGCCCGTTGCCATTGTTGAAGGCAGATCCTCAACCTGCATGAAGTTAAGGACTTATGTGACGTATGGTCTTGTAAACTACAGATGTTTTGTCATGTTTGGTCGTAAAACCATCCCATTCTTCGTATATCCAAATGTGTTGATCCCCCATACCGAAATGTGTTGGGCAAGCCCAAGACCCATGGAAAGATATCAATTGCCGCGGTGCCACTGTTGCCTTGCAGCGTTTGGGCCGGACAGCATGCTACGATCATTTGAAGGCCTTGGGAAGCCCAGACAAACATGACTCAACCATACGTAGTCTTGATCATGGAAAAGTTACCATGATATCAAGGTCCAAAATGCTGGATCACTTGGACAGGAAGTAGATTCTACATACCAAAGCTCCAAACTACTTATGGTCAAGGTGATTTACTCACATTCTCAATGATCCTACATAATTTCTTTCAAGTTGGCGTGGTAACCAGGAACCAAACAAATGATCCTACATCAATCATCAATCTCCTTATCATCTTGCAACATCTCCAACATCTTGAAGACTTGGAACATTCAAAGTTCCTACCATATCCATCCATAATGAATAGACATATATAAATAGGACCTAGCCTAACATCCATGTCCTACCATAATAGAACCAACCTTCCGCAGCCACCATGGCGCCATGGTCCCGCTGGCCCCATCTGCTGCTGTTGCTGGGTGTTGGACGTGCCTGGGTGTGGCCCAGCGAAGCGCCAAAAGACATCCCGTTTGAACGCAGCAGTCTCTTTAGGGAGGCCGTGGGCTGGTCGGTTTTTGGCGGGGACATCTCTAGCCTCTATCCTGCGTGGATGGTGGGGATGATGATAATTTGTTTGGTGATGTGTGCTTTGGCATGTGGGATCTATGTGGATTTATATATATATAATTATATATATATATATACAGTACGTCTGTTGATGCTTCTGTTCCGAACTTTGGAGTTGCCAAAGTTTGGTAAAAGAACCCCCTCCCCCGCACAGATTGGAAAGATGATCCCAGCATACTTCGCAAAGTCTATTGACCTCCCAAAGACCTTGCCATAAAGAGTAGGTCATTGCTGGGTGAACCGGTTTTCTTGGTTGGGTAGGATCAAATAATTTGCCATGGACGCGGGCAATATCATCGCCAGCTATTCTTGAACATCAACCATAGATGGATGATGTTTTTCAGATTCGCAGAACAAAAAAAAGTACAGAATCCATCCATTCCATTTATCAATGGCATCTCAAATGGCATCTCAACCATGTATGGATGATTTTGAAGATTCGCAAAAATCCACAAGTACAGAATCCTTCTAGTCCATATCATCCATCTACTATTCCACACTATTCACCCACTATTCTGTTGTGGCTGGGCACCTACCAGCAGGTGGATTTCACGGGGAAGTATGCCACTTATGGAGCGGCAGATACCTGGCTCCTTGGGTGAATCCCGGTGTTGCCTGGTTTGGTATGACTGTGATGCATAAACTATATATATATATACACAGTTACAATCTGGACTATGTAACTGCGTGTAACTATAATCTATATAGTTACAATATGTTATAATGTGGAATATGTAACTATGTGTAACTATAATGATCATAATGACTAGAATGTGTGGCTTCGTTACATATTATAACTCTAAGTATGATGAAGCTGGACATAAATGTGTAGCCATTGTTCATTTGGATTGAAAACAAAATGCTGTGATATTTTTGGGCAACCAGAAGCAATAACAATGATTGAGAATTTATTGGAACTTATCTATATAGTCTGGAAAAAAAGTTCTACTGTTCTAACTACACCACCATCGGATTCGCAAGCAGCCACGATATGGTTATTTATGCTGATTTAATGCACAAAGTTGGTCCTCCAAAAACAATGGTGAGTTATGTGGAAGCCATCGATACCTGGTATCTGAGGTTTCCCAGCTGGGGATCAGATGGCAATTTGTACAGTCCATTTACGGATGGCAAGGTGCAGGACATGGGGAGCTGTGGGATGCGGGTTGGATTCACTGGTTCGTTCGCGCAACGGAAGGGAGGATGCTGGTGATATATCATGATAGTCCAATAGGAATGAAGCGATTTATCATCAATAATAGTAATAATTTCTATAAGTTATAAATAGTTATAAGTACCAATTTGGAGGGATTAACATTCAGACATGTTCTTGGAGAGGTGAAGGATCTTCTGAGTTCAGCCAAGTGGTTGGTCACGCGCCGGTTCGGCGTCCTGATGTACATGGGGATTGACACCTGTATTTTAATCAAAAATGGCAGTTTGACACTACCAACTTAGATTGGTTTAAGGGTTTTTTTCCAGGAAACCATAGATTTTCCCATTTTTTATATGGGGTTTTCCTGTAAATGTTCCCTTAAACCAATCCATTGACACTACCAACTTAGATTGGATTTCTTGATCATGGTTGTCATGTTGGACTAGTCCACATGGACCATCATAAAACATCATAAAACCAGTGCTGGTTGGTGGTTTGGGTGGTGACTGGAACCATGGAATGGATTATGACTTTCCATAAAAAGTTGGGAATGTCATCATCCCAACTGACGAACTCCATGATTTTTCAGAGGGGTAGGTTGAAACCACCAACCAGAACATCATAAAACCAGTGAGTAGATCAAACCAGGCAGTAGAATCCCCAGTGATTTCACATTCTCCGCGAGGACGTCACATCTGCGAGCATTTGTCATGGCGCATCGTGCACTTCGACCACTGGATATGCCACCATCAAAGGGGAGGACAGCGAAGTGAAGTCTGGTCACCTATTTTCACCAAAGAAATCTGATTGGTGGTTTCAAACATTTTTTATTTTCCATAATATATAGGATAATCTTTCTCATTGACTAATATTTTTCAAGATGGTTATTGCACCACCAACCAGAAATGGTGACATGAAGTACCAAGGTGCTGGGGTTTGGACCAACAACCGGGAAAACTTATTGTGTTGCTAATGGATTCATCGGAGAGCATAACAATCATGGCCAAGTTGTGGTGGTTCAGCATGTCTAATTACTGTATTCTAAATCCAAGTGGTTCGAGTTTTCAAGCACAGTGATACGATCTTAGCAAGAAACATCTAGAATCAGTTTCGAACAAATGTCACTGGTATGATACATATTCAATATTATGTGTATATATTATGCACATATATCTATGCCTCATAGTACTGGTATGGTTAACTTCATTTGTCAGGCGAATAATCCAACCAACTTTGACCTATGCCCATTGTTCTTGCGGTGGTAGCCTTTGTTGGTCTCCCATGTGATAGCCTGGAAGACCTGCTGGTCACTGGCAATCTTGCCTGGAAACTCCAGCATGATAATTTTCCTCTTGAACACGGCGATTTCGCCACTTGTCATCTTTGAACAACCATTTTACAACATTTGCAATAGCTATTGGGTTTACCACATAAATTTTGGGGGTACCCAACTACTAATTGGTTATCGAATGGTAAAAAGATCCAAACAATCGAACATGGCTCAAGAGCTGACATCCTTATTGACCCAAGGTGGCCATAGATAATTCTCCTAGGGAAACCCATGGTTTTCGTTACGTCTTCTTATTCTGCTGGAGGGCAAACCATCGAAGTTTGGATACAGCAGATTGGAATCAAGACCCAACGGTGCCGCCTTGGCAGCTGGCAGAGAAAATCAATAAACCTTAGTGGTTCTATGATAATCAGACTAGATACTGATTTATGGCCAAATTATTTTTGTTTATGTCTATTTTATGTCTATTTTATGTCTATTTATGTCTATTTGTGTCTATTTATGCCTATAATTTCTATTTCCTGTTGACAATTCTTGTAAATTGCTGCATCTATCAGGAAACATTCTGCCCGTGGACCTTCCAGGATCCCTTGAATTTGACCATCAGCGACGTTGGTGTGGCGAGCTCATCCACCTCTCCCTACCACGGACGGTGCCCACTGTTCCCACTGTTAGCCCACTTGATCTGTTCTTCAATTGGGGAAATAATATGAAATCATTATGAACCATGGGACTTTGGTGTACCCTATTTTCAGGAGCAAAACATGTGATATCTAATTTTTGAACCTGTAGTCATGATTGCTTTAGAATCTGGGCATAAGTCAAGACCCTGGCTCAATGGCAAGCATCCCAATAATGAATCGAAGGTAGAGTTTGCTCTTGGATGTTCATCTGCTCACATTTAGCGATTTTTAGTAGGTGTTGAAACGAACACCCAGACGATATCTATGCCATGAGCTCCTCAGTGACCCAGATCGGCAGAATGATAATTCGTTTCCCCATAGTAGACGCCCTCGGAAACTGTTCATTTTTGGTTCCAACAAATAGATGATGATTTTTTGGGATACAGAATTCTGCGAATATCAACATTTATAAAAGCTTGATGCTTGCCAGATCTTGGCAAGAGATAAAAAGGTGACACCAAGAAGGGTCACATTGATTCCTGGTTGATAGGTCCTGCTCCAGTGTGAGAACCCCAATCATCTCCAAGCAGTGTTCTAGTGCTATACCTCAATGATCACCCACAACCTGTTGAAGGCTGATTATGGTTGATGATTTTGTAGATCCTCTATATATTAGGGGGGTTCTTAAAATGAGGGGATCCGCAAGTCACCATGGAATTTCATAGTGTTTCAACTCCTTTGTGTCATGGTCCATGACGACTTGGATGATTTGGGGTACCCATGACTTCAAAAACCTTCGATGAGCCTTACCGGAGGTACCCCTGCGGCTCCCTGCACGTGAATGGCACCTGGTTCTACGGCACCTATGCCCTGGACAACGAGAATCACCAGCCGGGTGATCGGTTAGGCGCCACACGCGGGGGTTGCTTGGATTTTTCCGGATGGTGGGGTGAGGGTGAAAGGTAGCCTCTGGTTATTTGACATATGGAACTGGTTAGACATAGCTATGGAAAATGGAGGAAAAAGGCACATGAATAGATTATCTATGATGATTTACCTGGAAATGATGATTTTCGATGGCTACGTGAAATAACCAGGGGTGAATTCGTACTTCTGTCTGCCATAAATCGGGGATGTAGACTATCCAGTTCAGGAAAAAGATGAAGGATACCTACGATTGGCCGTGATAGGTTGGACCCTTAAGTTGTATGGGTATTTGACTTGGCCTGTGCTGGTTTGGCAAGTTCACTGTGCTGGTTTGGCAAGTTCACTTGAGTTGTTTTCAGGTCATTTTTGAAAAAATGTCACATCATCATGAAAAAATGTCACATCATCATGCTACGAAATCACTTTTTTTACATTCTTTTTCAGAATTTCGGGATATGTCTTGGGAGCGCTTGATGTCAGGACAGACCGGGTCTCTTTGGTGCGAATCCAGTCTACAAGCTGATGTATGCTTAAAGGCTCGCCAGAGGCAAATCATATTTTGATGGGTAATTCATCTATAAATGGACCATTTTCCATAGCTATGTGAGTTTACTGTAGGGTACCTCTCTTGTAAATTTCCGGCCATGTTGAATTCCGGTAAAAACTGTTGAAACGCTTTGCATTTGCCAAAGAGAGTTGAGGCTACTGCGAAAACTGGTGCATTCAAGGGCCCTTCATTGGCTTTCGCTGGAGCAAAGACAACGGCAAGACTTGGAACGAACCCCGGGAGCGTTTGAAAAGACACCTGGCTGTGGGAAGTTCAATCATCCCCCGCAAAGCTTGGCGTTTTCAGCCAAAGATCCAGCCCAACATGCAGATTTCGGTGATTTTGAGTTGCAAACACACGTACAAAGTCTCGGGGAATGGTTGCTTCATGTTTTACAAGTGAAATCTGGTTTGTTTTGCAGGTATTTAATAGGACACTCTGTAGAGCTAAGCAATAGTTTGACAGTCATACAGTAGTTCTTAACCCATCCCAGCTTGTGTGTGTGTGTGATCAACCTTGGTAAGAAGGTGAAATGATCTCGAGTCAGATAGAGAACCCCCCGTGCTTCAGCTAGTTAAACTCTTGCCAGAACACTTCGGACTGGGAGAGCTTGTGGGTTCAGCCCAGTTTTGCGGTGGTTAGCTGTACCATTACCTTTGCATTCACCGCATCAATGCGCAGATATCTGTCATGTAGGTTTTTTGAATGTGTTGTTGATTCTTTTGCTGTCACCTGAGGCACACATAAAGTGGCTTTTGCATGTTGTGGCAGCAGTGGCTTCTAAATCTTCAACAGTGTCGGGCCCCCCTCTTACCAGAGATGTTGAGCTAGACAGTATTGCCCCAAGCCTTGTCGGAATTACAATAAACCAAGAACCCACATGAACATTAAATGCATACACATTTCCAGCAAATGCCCGCACGCTTCCGAGGTGAGATTTAGAAGCCATTGCTGCCACAACATGCAAAAGCCACTTTATGTGTGCCTCAGGTGACAGCAAAAGAATCAACAACACATTCAAAAAACCTACAGATATCTGCGCATTGATGCGATGAATGCAAAGGTAAGGGTACAGCTAACCACCGCAAAACTGGGCTGAACCCACAAGCTCTCCCAGTCCGAAGTGTTCTGGCAGGAGTTCAATACTTGTAGTTCCATCAGCGTTTTCCCCTGGGAACGTTCGACCTGGACCGTGGCCGACGGCTGAGGTTGGAATGACACGCTCTTTGGCGAAAGCGCGCCCAATAATCACAGCAAAGTGAAGTTTGGAGCGATTCACGTGGTGGATCTGGGGTGTCTTGGCGTTGAAAATGAAGTCTGGTTGGTGGTTTGGAACATGAATTTTTTATTTTTCCATATATTGGGAATGTCATCATCCCAACTGACTCTTATTTTTCAGATGGGTTGAAACCACCAAGCAGCTTTTATTGAGTCCGAGGTGCTGGTGGATTCTGGTGGTTTTCGGTGACAACAAACTCAGCACTGATTGGAACAAACAAACCCGAAAGGATGGCTGGGTACGGATAGGGCCGGATAGGGGTACCCTCTGGTAAACCAACATAGCTCTGGAACATCACCATCTTTAATAGGTAAATCAACTATAGATGGACCATGTTCATCAACAGCTATGGTAAATTATATAAGAAAAACCAGAGAGTATGAGTCAGAGGTGAGCCACTTTCCAAGAGATGTCTTCCGTTCGCTTGCGGAGTTTCCTGCCAGGAAAGCTCTGCAGTACACCCCAGCCGGAGACCGTGAGAAGATGATGTGTCTCTGGCTGATTGGATGGGGGTTGTCCGACTAAGAACCGACTAAGAACTCAAGTATGAGGAGGTGTGAGGTATGTTCGGGATTGCAACCCAAAACTTTTACATACTTTTACTATCTTTTACTATTTTGTGTATATCGACTCCTACTACCTACATGTATACATTATCCACGGAAGCATTTACGACTCAGCATCATTCCAGTGCCAGATATCGACCTGGAAGACTTTGGATCTGCCTTGACAGTTGATGGTCTTCTGAGGCTTCACACTCGTGTCATTCGAACAAGAGGATTTGCCTTAGATCTTTGAGTCCAGTTCCCCATGTATCAATCTTGTCTCATCCCCAAAAAGACCCAAAAAAACTGCCAGTTTTTGGGTCGAAGCCACCATCAACCACCTTTGGCCCATCCACGCCATGCCGTGCTGTGAGCAGCCGGAGGTACGTCATCGGCCACGGTGCCTCCTCGCCCTTCTCCCCTCAGTCCTGGATGCAGGGTTCGGAGATCTACTTGGCGCGGGTACGGCCGGAGATCCAGGCGGTGAATGACAGGTGGATGAAGGGATGGTGCCGATTGTGTTGTGGGAAGGCTGGGGTAGATTGAATTTGGTAACCTTTGAAATCTGGGCATATTACATGTGTATACTGTGTATATATAATATATATATATATATATTTATATATTGACTGATATACACACAAAGTAGTTCATGGGAAGTTGTGCCTTCTTCATGATCACCTCATCTTCTATTGGATTTTACATGTATTCAATGAATGGGATTATATTTTATAGGATCTACCCTCTGGTAGTCAAACATGGCAATGGGAAACCCCCGAACTAAATAGAGGTGTCTAGCTGGGGAAAACATTCATAAATAAGCAATTTTCCAGCAAGCCACGTTTGATTATACTTACACTGGGGCAATGACGCAGTTCAACAGTCCTCATATCCATAGACCCCCTCCCCACACTTTTACCAACATTTAGAACTACACACAATCTCATACCCCCGCCACAACAAAATCATAACAACATACCACATACATCCACATACAAACCATACACAGCAAAATCATAACAACCTAACAACCATCATTACCATGATACATTACCGAAGTGCGTCAGTGCCCCCTCATACAAAATTACAACAAGCAATACCCAAAACAAAACAACCAAACAACAAACAAAAAACAAACCCAGCAACAAACAATATAAAAACAAAACAATGGACAACAACATAATAATTCTATAAGCATAAGTTTTCCCATCTCATCCGTTTTTCATCATCATAATTCATCATAAAGTCATCATAATTCATCATAAAATTATCATAGTTCATCATAGCTCATCATAGCTCATCATAGCTCATCATAACTCATCATAAAATCATCATAGTTCATCATAGTTCATCATCATCATCATCATCATTTGAACTTTCATCGGTTTCTTGTTGTTTTTTTACGCTTAAAAATAGCCAACTGTCTACTATTGATTGAACACTAGTATGACTTGTTGTAGTCGTTAGATTTTTCCCGTTCGTTCGCCCATCCGCCCTTTGCTACATCTTCACCGTGCCCTTCTCGGTCTTGCTGTCGGGATTCTCATATGGGATGGTACGGGAGTGCGAAGCCAGCATGATGTGCAGAAGGTTGATGCAATTGGAATTGAACAAGTACTTATCGTAGCATGGTCTTTGTGGACTTTGATGCTCCGTAGTTGGGCTCAATAAGTGCCACTTGCCAATTCGGATTTTGCCATGAGAACTGAACATGCGACTGTGCCTTATGTTTATCGGGCTCGCCTTGTTGGTTGCGACCTGCTTCGCTCGGAGGCTGTCCATGGTGGCCGCACCTGCCGATGATGACAATGCCCAGTGCTTGTTGCAATTGACGAATCGCACACGCAAAAGAAAGTATAAACGGTCAGGAAGTTCGTGCCGTATGCTGCCTGCACACTGGTATAAACGGTGCGAGGAATGTCTTCTTCCTCATGGGAGCACGTTCCAAAAGTTGCGCTCCTATTGTAACCTTTGCTGCCCTTACATTTTCAATGATCAAAATACCAATGACAGTGTGCTCGCAGTGCTCTCCTAGCTCTCCGACTGCAATGGCGAATTCAGAAGGCACAGTTTCCCACCTGTGAAGGACTGAAAATAAAAGAAAACTGCGAAAATCAACTATTCAAAGTTTCCAGACTTTGAAACCACAGTTTCAAAACTATGATGGTGTAAAGGCAGTGTGTTTCTGGATTCAAATTCAAGTTTTCGGTCATTATGCACAGGCATTTCGGGTGGATTTTAACATTCCCCTTTGCCTTTTAAGCAGGCAAGCATGACAAAGACCGCAAATGCCCAAGAGAGGAAGACGAAAAGAATTCAAGCAGAATTTTGGGCAAGTGCTCGGTATTTGGAAGTCGCATGAAGTCCTTTGTTAGAAACACACTTGTGTATCAATCAACCCTCCCACTCCACCAGCTCAAACTGCCCATCCCGAGGTTGAGAAGACAAGATACAGAATGTCAAGCAGAAGGTTGAACCAGAGCATGGAGAGGCATGACATTTGGTCATGAATTCAACCAGAAACTGGAAGGAGTGAAACTACCAAACAGTCTTCCAAACTCAACTTTTGGGAGGGTTTATCCAATCCCTTGGGGATATATAAATACAACTTACCCACGTACCCCGATACACATAACATATCATAGAAAAATCATAGAATGATATTATCCTCGCACATTCACCCCCGCTTTCAAGATTTCAGGTCTTGAAACAGTCTGGCACTGCCGTGGATGGGAATGGGGACTGGGTTACATATAGATATATGTCTATATCTATATTTATCTTATCTTTGACGAAGGCAACGCCACAACAGCTGACCCAATGGCAGGCACAGTATGTCCAGTGGCAAGGCGTGGCATCTACCTACAACATGCAAAATTTACTGCTGTCATAATTTATTCAACCAGTGGTTCAGGGACTTCATACAAATCATTTTGTTTAAACAGCGTGTAGTTTTCCTTCCAGTTTTCCTTCTTTCCGCTTGGTGCTCTCTGCGCTGTTTCCTTATGCCTCTTCCCATCCATATTTCCGCAATCCTTCATACACAAATCCCGAGGTTTCCAATTATCAAGGTTGTTCCACAATCTGGTTCTCTTTCTATACGGCATGCCGTATTTACAGTAGTCAATATCTTTATATGGCAGTCCATCCATAAAGGGTTGCTTCTTCAAAAGACCTGTCTGAGGGTTTTCAATAAACCATACTGACGGTTTAAAGTAATCTATTATCTCAATAGTTTTCAAAACAATTTTGTTCGCTTCATCAATTTTTCTGACACCAGTTGTTTTCGCTATGCTGTATTCAATACATGGAGGCGACGCCCACACAAAATTAAAGTATCCTGATGGATATTGCCTATAATCCCATTCCAGTATGTTACAATTAATGTCAGCATTTTTCAAGTCCAATGACACCACTTCCCAATGAAGTTTTTTCGCAACAGTTCCCACTGACCCAGTTCCACTAAATAACACCAATGATTTCATAATAATATTTATATATATTAGAAATATTATTATCAAATTAACACAAATTTATCACCATCCTTTATAATCTTATAGTATCTTGTAGTATTCCAATGTTTGCTCCTTGGGTTGTTTGATTTTCCCATCATTCAGCATTTTCAGATACTGTTGCTGTTTGGTTTCAAAAGAACCGGCAGGGCAGGGCGTCCAATGCCCTTTTTTGTGAATGCCTCTTCAACTTTTGCCTTATCGTCATCCGCAGGTTTGGCATTCACAGCAGTATCAATCTTTTTATCAATTTCTTCTAACTTGCTCAATACCAGTTTCACCTGTTTAGCATATTTGTTGAACTTATCCATCATCTCTTTCATTTCACTTGGTTTTTCATCTCCACTTGACTTTTATATATATATATATATTTATTTAGATAAATATTTATTAAATTAAATATGTATTTATAGGTTTTAATCTTGACAAAAACTATTCTTTAAGTATGTTTGTTTCAATCCATTTCATTCATCACCTGTTTTTTCCTCAAATATCTTTCTTTGTTTTTCCTGCTGATGACATCTTTATGTTCTTGATTGTATTTTCTTGCTCGTTCTCTGTATTTTTCAGGGTCTTTCCAGTAGTAATCCTTTCTGTAAGTCTTTAATTTTTCTTGTTTTTTTTCGGCATATTTCTTATCACTGATTGCTTTTGCTTTCTTGATTTTATCAGCACATTCAACTTTATACTCATCCGTTGTCCTTCCTGCTACAACTTTGTTTAGTGATGCTTTTAGTTCTCTCATCAACTCACCCTCTCTTTTTTCAAGTTGCTTGGAATTCTCACAAGGGCATTCTTCCACAAGTTCAATATAAAACTGTTCCACTCCATATTTCATCATTAATGGATATATTAATGTATTCTGTCTATCTTGTTTTTTAGCGTTGCTTCTGTGATGTGCCATTCTCTTACTTAAATTCTGGCAGGTGCTTCCAACATATATTTGGTTGTCAATATGATTTCTTATACAATAAATCTTACCATTGCTATAATCCTTGGGTTTTCTTTCCATACTAAGATATACTAATATCTATTAATAACTACTGTTTAAATGTTTATTCCAAATCATCTAATGAATTTTGTTTCTTTTTGTGTCGTGGTGTATTCATAACATCCTTTATCATATCATTCCTATATTTTTCGTCTTGACAAGGCGGTGTAACTTGTTTATTCCAACTAAAACTAATGCTATGGTCTTGACTATCCAGCGTAATGCCTCCCTCGTCATCTTTGCTGACATTCATTGTTTTATCATTCTTTGTAAGTTTGAAACTACACGGGTTACAACGGCAGGTTATGCCTTTGGGATTGATTTCAATTTCATTCCTTAACTGTAATTTTCCCTGACATAAAGGGCAGTCAAAGGTTATAAATTTGCTTGTTAGTTTTTGTTCCTCACTTAAATTTACCATTTTGGGTTCATCATCTGATAATTCAAAATCTTCGGGTATTGGTTGTTTCTTCATTTTGCTATTGGTTTTTGGTTTCGCTTTTTTTGGTTGCATTTATATATAGACCTACATAATTAATCACAACTTTAAGGATTTCAAGTGAGTATCTACAACAGATTTTAACTTTGTTATTCTCCACAACTGGGAGTTTAGCATCATCAACAATTCTATTTTCAATAGTGTCAATATCCTCAATGTATCTCCTGTATTCATCCATATATAATTAGATGATATTTTTAACATATCTAATTATATGATATATACATAGCATTCATGGGGTAGGTGCGGGTTCAAAAGACAAACTAATTCACACATCTTCTACTGCTTCAAAATGGACTGCGATTATTGGTTCAATTTAATTAACTGTTCCTTCGTTCTTATGACGGATATATGGCAGTCTGTTCCAAATCTCGCGATTGCGGAGCATCGCAATGCTCCTGACCCCTTTTTCAAAGGAGCAGTCTCGACACCCTTTCAAGCAAGATAAGATATGCCATTACAATATATATATATATATATTATAATTTATTT